TGCATCTCCTCCCCACCCCCCCATAGCCTTGCCTTTACTCACCAGTGGTCCCAGGCATCTGACTCACTTCACGAAGGGAGAGCTGACGTTTCCTAAAAATAAAGTATGTGTTTACAAGGAATTCAAAGCATTTTAACAAAACCAGCTTATTCTCCCTCCCACCCCTCCAAAAAAGGGGAAGCACATGGCCACACCAACCTGGCAGCAGGGCATAGCCATGGTGGGCAGCCCTGCAACATCCACAGGCAGATGAAGGAGGCAGTGGAGGGGCTCCAACTCCTCTACTGGAAGACAGACACCTACTAACAGAAACACACACACACAAAACCAGAAACATCTGTTTCTACTGTGCTGATATTAAGGACTTGTGCTGGTATATACAGTTGGGAAAGGATGGGCATATCAGGAAAAGGGACCAGCCCACAGGGCCCGGGTCAAGAGAGTAAAGCTGTAGCAAATGTCTACTGCCATATACCTCTGAGTAAAATTTTAGATCCTTAATCTTAGGGAAGCAAGCTGGGAGAGAGCTGCAGCCAACCCTTGCCAATAGAACACAAAAATTAACCTCCTCCCAGTTTATTTGACCTTCAGGGCCAGCATATCTGGCTCCAAAACTCCAGTTTCCACTTCTTGCTATACACTCAGGAAGATGATTGATTGCTGTCACAGGTCACAGAGAACCAAATCAGCTCAGGACCCAGAAACCACCAGCTCGAGCCTGGCAGTCAGTCAAGGCTGTTTGCCAAACCTGCCTGGTGAAGGCTCAGCTTAGGCACGGCTCATGCCCGTGTGGCCATGCTCCACGTTTGAGTAGTGGCCATGCACTGCTGCCCCACGGAGCAGACCACGCCAAGACTAAAGCACTGACCTGGTATAGCTCCTCCCTAACCTTTGCACGGAGGTTGGTATAAGCTACATATTTTACAGCTCAGCAAATCAGGGCAAACAGCTCAATCTCCCGCTTGGTGCTGGGACTGGGCTGCCCACGTGGTTTTCCTACTGAGAAACAACATGCAAAGAGTCAGCGTGGGAGGCCATGTCCTGCAATCCTCCTGCCACAGCGCAGGCAAGAAGGAAAGGGTTTCTGTTAAGCCACATGGGACAGGAAGAACATGATGAGCAACACAAACTTCACAGGCTCCCATCGGACATTTGCCAAGTTTTGTTGTGTCCGGAAAAGTTTCATTCCAGGGGACTGCTAGCTTCAGCACACTTAGAAAACAGCATAGAAGAGCATACACATCTTCAGAGGTCCACCCAGGCTTGCAAAACACAGCTGGAAGCTTGTGATAGATCCCTGCCCTGAAAAACTTCATGCCTGCCTATGAAGCATCCCTATATCCAAAGACAAAATTCCAACTGGTACGGGTGGAGGGCAAAAGGCAGAGCGCCAGCTTGGAATTCCTCACCCTGAAACCCTTGTTGTAACGTGAGCAATGCAAAAGTTCCTAGCCCAGCAGTGAATCACAGCAGACAGCAACTGCAACCACCAGCAAACATGTTTCAAGCTTACCTGGTTAATGGAAACTGAAATCCTATTTTACATGATGGAATTTGCTCATCTGGAGGCAAGGAGTCCATCAGCTGAAACAGCATGGTCTTGCAGTCGTTATAGCAGCACTTCTCGCTTTGAGGGCAACGCACTAGTTTTTAACATCGCATTCAAGCAATCGCTGGCTGATGCCTTTGGATATTGATATCCAGAGACAACTGCTTCTCTAAACCTTGGGTAAAGAGGAAAAGAAACAGTGACCAGATCCAAAAGGCAGCCATACCCTACCCTAATAGTAAGTGTAAAACTAAATCTGAAGGGAAGCCTTTTTCTCTTTAAAGGTCTTTGTAAGGGTTTTTTCTGGACTCTCCCCACTCCCAAATGCCCTTTCCCAATGATAACTCACACAAACTGTAAGAGAAGGAGAGACATGGGACCCCCTACAAAAACCACTCATGAAGCTGGGCTGTTAACGTGGTAGACCATGGGCAGACTGAAGGCTCCCACTGATGAGGGCCCCTCCACCACTTTCAGGACAGCCACCCTACTGGCTCCAAGCTGCTCTTCTCCCAAATCCTTGGAAGAGGAATCAGGATGCAGAGGAAAAGGGAAAGGTTTCAGGAGGAGAGAGGACATATGGTGTGATGCACGAAGCCTTTGGTGCAAGTTAAATGAGGACAAACGTCCCCAAGCTCAGAGTGGGGTGGCGGAGATGGCTGTGCAAGGTTATTTCACAAGAGTGGAGGAGGAAAGGGCAGCACTGACCCTGTCTGCACAAAGCACACATTCCCTTCCCAGCCAGGGCACACAGCAGTTACAGCTCCATCGTGTCTGAGCAGGACACTGAACACAGGCACATCCTGGTGCCCTGCTTAGAAACAGAACAAAGAAACCTGATGAAAAGGTTTAAAAAAAAAAAAAAAAAAGAGCTATGCAAATTATGCAAAAGCCAGAAGACTTCCCCTTTCAGCAAGGGGCTTACAGGAGCTAACCCATTTGATCTGCCACAACGCAAGCAGATGGGTGTGTGATGGCACCTTATAACACACCTTTGTGACACGGATGGCGTGGGGATGAGAAAACTGCACACGTGGGTAAAGGCGACACAAGCCCCAGCTGCTCAGAGGAGGAAGCAGCAGCAAAGTCTCCTGCTCGTTTCCAAGAAGGCGCACAGACAAGAAACGAAGCTGTTGGGGTATTCAGTGTCATTTTCAGTTTGGCTTTTATTTTCATTGACTTCAACAACAAGGTGTTCCAAAACACACACGGGTCCCGGTGCAGGCAACACTGTCATTGCTACAAGCATCGGCAGATTCTCAGCTCAATTAATCCATATGCTTTGATGTATCAAAACAAAACAAACAAACAAAAAAAATCACAGCTCTACAGGGGAGGGTAAAAGCTACAGCAGTTCAAACTCACTTGAATATTCCAGTTATACAGAAGTGGGCTCCATAGTGCTATACTGTAGAAAGAAGGTTTTCACAGCATATATTTTAATCATTAGTGATGCAGCAGAAAAGCTCCATCTCACTGCTGAGTTGAAAAGCAGATACTCAAGTCCCTGTGCCCAGACTCTGGGCACAGCATTAACTGCATTAACCTTTATAGTCAGAAGCTTCTTAGTTTGTAAATTGACAGTATTTTTGCATCAATATTTGTACAGTACTGAAGGAGAGCAGAAGTATTACACAACGGAGATGCAAAAATTGGAGGCGAGAAGGGCACAACCGAGTTCACCTCCAGGAATTTGCCAAGTAACCGCACTAACACTTTCCCCGCACTAACACTGCCCCGCTGAATTAATTCTTGCATTGAGTCAAGAGCAGGGTGACTCGTGTCTTTCGTAGCATATAGGAAAAAAAAAAAAAAGACTTAAATTTTCACACTGAGCATGTTAAATACTTTGAAATCTAGGACGCTGCTCTTTGAAGTGTTACAAAATAAAATGATAAAACAGGCTTTCAGTACCTGCTCCCTCCCCCCTCAACTGCAAAGTAGCACAGGAATCTTAGTATGAAAAATACAAATATATTTGTCCAGTGATGAGTCATTTGTTACAAGGTATACTGTAAGCGTACTGCATAAAAATAATAATTAAAAAACCAGAAAAACAAACATCATTGTACTGTGGTTCTGTCAGACCCGGTAACCCAAGAAGAAATAAAAATCGGCATGTTATGCTGTAGGAAAAAAAATTACACGTACAAAAAGATACTTATATACACACACTTTTACAGGGTAACTATCTTGCATTACTATTTAGAGCTACCCAAAACAGGCTTGCACAGTTACCGAAAGGCAGTCTTTGAATGCAACGTAGACCTGGCACAACAGACAGATGGAGGATTCTAACAATATCGGACTTAAATGAAATATGTGGCACACAGCAGGGACCAGAAAACAGCCACTGCATTGAAACGAGATTATTTGGTTGTAGCAAGTCATTTAAGCTGCTTTTTTCAACTTTCCCCGACCAAAGAAGTCAGGCTTACTGTTAAAAAGAGCAAGCCTACTTGAAAGCAGCTGTGCTGAGCCGAGCTCCTCGGTTTAGGTTTGTTTGTATACATTATAGTCTTACCACCTTGGCCAATATAAACGTGAAAACACACACTGCTCAGTTACTTGTCCACAGGATCACTGGCAGTCGGAGGAAATGCCTCAGAGCACAGCTGCTGTAGAACCAATAAAGAAAAATCAGAGAAAAATCCATTTCTCATGTAAACATGACCTTTTGCAGTAGCAACACCCATATTACCAGGAACTGGTTCTTGTTCCAAGGCAGTTGGAAATTTCTTTCCTTTTTTACTCTCCACTTCTAGTTGCTCATCACTTAGTCTGTAGTCACCAGCAACAAACCACAACAGGCTCCAGCCTATTACACACATATCTAAAGATGGTTCTATTCCACTTGGCAGGAAACCAATCCAGCACGGTCTAAATAAAAGATTGCCTGGGTTTAGGATAGCTGAAGCCCCACAAATCAGTGGGCAGCTCTCAGCTGGTCCTCTGTTCAACTGGAGGTTAGGCAGGCAAATCCTTATGCTAAACTAACTGGGCTGCATATGTGGCAAAGCCTAATTCTCTAGCTTAAGTGTCAGCAATAGTACTAAAGGCTAAAGGTTGGGTGTGGGACAGAAGTCAAGAGCGACCAATGGCTGTATTTGCTTTTACATCCTGTAACAAGCAAACCAGGACATACACATGAATGTAAATTCAGAACAAGAGACAGCAGGTTTGGTTTTTCCCAGAGAAGGTGAGGGAAAAGGAAAAAGTGGGTTGCAGGTGGCCGTAAGCACTGGCCTGCCCAGCAAAGTGCATGTGCTGTCTCCGCTGGAGAGTATTACACATGAACAGAGCATTCAGCTCCATGAGAAGAGGTTGTTTAAGTGCGACATTCAGCAGACCGATTCCTATTTGTATTTTGGATGAACTGCTAGTTCAGGATTTGGTGACTTTGGGCTTTTTGCATTTAGTCATGGGGTTGGAGTGGGGCGGGGAGGGGTTTGGCTTTTTTAAAATTTGTTTTAACCTTCCTGCTTTTCAGAGCGGGATTGCTGGATGAGAGAGACAAGCTTGCAGGTCAGGATGCCCACAAGGTGTGTGAGGATTCAAAAGTCAAGAAAAGAAGCCCTCTCCCCAAAGGAAAACATGAAACTAGAACACCACCTTCTCGAGAAGGTCAACGGCTTTCAAGGAAATACCACCCGCCTTCCCCCTTCGCTCAGTTCTTCCCCTTGTAAGAGCCGGGGTGGAGGTCGCGGTCCAGGAGCATAACCTAGACAGCTTCAAGAGCATAACCAGCACGAGTGAGCGAGAAAGCTCCCTCTGCCCTTCGTCCAGGGGCGCAGTACCAAGCAGAAGGAAGACAAATGAAGGGCTGAGCAGTTTGTGGCCGAGGCGGGGTGGAGCAGGGTCCGCAGGGCTCACTCCCCTTCCTCCTTGATGCGTTGCTGTTTGTTGCGCCTGGCATCCATGTCGAAGTTGAAGTCATTCCACTCATCACGGGGTGGGAAGGAGATGGTCTGCCGGAGCGTGAAGCGGACTGCGTCAATGACTCGCTCCCCCCGGGTTTCGCTGGAGCCCACGCTGACGGTGGAGGCGCCACTGGGGGTGCGCAGGAGGTGGGGAGGGGAGGAGAAGTCATGGAGCTGCCGGTGGTCCAGGATGCCCTTCCAGATGGCATGGCGGAACTGCTCCGGGATCTTGAGGCTCACCAGATCCTGCAAGGCAAGGTGGAGGGCTTAACAAGGCAATCCTTGTGCAAGGTGGGCTCTGGGAGTAGAATCAGCCTCTGGGCCACCCTGCAAATGCCTGTTAACAAACAAAGCTGCTAAAATCCAGGTGGCCGTGATGCACTGTAGAAGACAAACCACTAATCCTGAAGGCTCACTTCTGAACCAGCATGTGTGGCCATGAGGCAGCAAGGACTAATGACACAAGGTCTGTTTTAAGTTACACAAAACACACATTCATGCATAACATATGGTGACCTAAAGCTTGATGTTTAACTGGACTGCAAGGCCTCCAAGACAACCTCAGTGAGGGATGCAGAGGTTCAATGGCTTCAACAACTTCTGTGTTTATTTCAAAGCCTGCAAAAGAATCCAAGCCTGAGCTCCAGTATCCAAAGCTCTGGATCTGATTCTATAGTAACTGCCTTAATTACTTGAACATACCCAAAATTTAAGAACAGACACATAACCTTAGAAAACTCGGGTTTTGAGGCCCCATCATCTCTGGCGCCGTTCCTGCGGGTAGCATTACCTAAACTCTGGTAAATGTAAGATTTGCTCCTGAAAAAATGAGCAACCAGCTTTGGTTAATTTGGGTCAGCTTTTCTAATTAGAGTAGCAGCAGCAAGAAGACAGCCCATGCTAGGAAGCAAAAGCACCACAGCCTTGCAAAGTCTCAGGGTAAAAATAACGGGACAGCCAGCTCTGAGGAGAGCAATGGCATAGGTGAGGAGGCAGAAACCCTGCAGAAACAGCCATGCAAGAAGAAAAACCACCAAAAATCACCAGCTGGGCTGAGATGCCAGTGGTGAGGGAAGACCATTAAGGTAAAGCCAGAAAACAGAAGCAGGGAGGGGAAAAAACACAGACCACTTCTGGACAGCCTACTTGTCTGCAGGCAAGTGAGGTGTTTCAGAGTGGTGTAAACTGAAACCAAGCCTTGGAGAATTAACAGGCATGTGGGCTGGGGCCACTTCGGGGGCTAAAATACACAGTGGTGGGCATGGGGAGACACTCTTCACCTGTGCCAGGCAAGGCAGTTACAATGCTGGCCCTGAGTCCAGCCTCTCTTCACCTCACAAGTCATCTCTGTGTGCAACAGCCTTTAATCAAACTAATCATATAAAAATATACTGAGTCTGGATTTCTGACCCATCCCTACAGCAGGGCCAAGAATGCAAACAAAGAAATGGTGAGGAGTTACTTACATCCATGGAGTAATGCTCAATCTGATAGATGGTGGTCAGCCCCTGGGTCGTGAAATAATCCACACAGGATGAGCAGCCCAACCTCGCTAAGAAGCTGCAGAGGAGTAAGGAAGGAAGGAGAGAGAAAAAAGGATCACCCTGGCTGCAACAGCCCAAACCACAGAAAAACCAAACACTCAGCCAACCTGCAGCAACAGGAAACAAAGCTTTCACCCTTGGCTTGACCATCTCCAAGACATCCCAGGCCAGCAAGCCACATTGCTGCCACATCAAACAAATGAGGGAGTCCTTCAGCTTGCTTCAGAGCAGGCAACCCTCGTGGCAGCACCTCGCCTTCGTCAAGAGCTGGTGCTACACAGCCTGGATCTTGGGGCAGGAAGGCTCAATGTGGACCCTCCTGCCAGGTCACTTCACCCAGAAGGCAGCTGAGCCCATGGCAGCCTGCTGTACAGATAGAGAACCCCAGCAAGGCAGTTCACCTGTGACTCAGGCACATCATGCACACAAAGTATTTCAAATCAGCACATTCCTCCCTAAGTGTAAAGGATTCCTCCTTTATGGGCAGCATCTTCCAACGAGTTTAACCTCACACAGGGCAGAGAGGCTTTTGACCCCAGCCATGGCTTGTCGTGTGGCCAGAGGGGAAAAAAGAAATATGAAAAAGATAAAAAGTCATGTTTGCAAGACTGCCTGGTGCCCTCAGCTCCACCAGTCCAGTAGATGCTGCATCCCTCGGCTTTCTTGCAGTCCTAATGTCCCTGTTTCTCAGCTGCTCAGAGTTGGGGGGTTGAGGCTTGATGCCCAGAGAGTGCCAGCCCTGGGACTGCCAAGACCCACTGGGATCCAGTGCTCCAGAAGAACAGGGAGAGGGACCCGTGCAGGACCCTTCAAGCTCCCAACATGAGACTTCTGCTCCCTGTGGGTAGGAAACGTCCACCAGGCAGCCTGCTCCTGCTCACCTGACGATGCTGCAGTCTGTGGGGTACGGAGGAGGGGGGGTGCAGTGGGACGTTGAAGGCATGGAGAGGGGAGGAGGCAGTGCCTGTGTGGGGCTGAGGCCATTCATGTCACCGGTCATGGCCATGTGGGTGCCCATCATGGGAACTGGAGGAGAGAAGAAGGAGGAGCATATTGTTACCCTGGTGACCTCAAACCCCTACTTTGCCCCCAGCATGGCACCAAGGGACAGCACCCACAGCCAGAGCAGCCTTAAATCCCCTATAAAGCCCTGCATGGAGTGAGCTCACGGGGAACCTCAGGTAGGGCCACAACAACAGCGCAAGGACGAGATGACTGACAGTCCTTCAGGAGCTCTTCCCTCGCTGGAGCAACTGTCAGCAGCACTGCTGTGGTGTCACCTTCCGTTACAGACAAGCTGGGTAGGACCCTAAGCAAGCCCCAGGCATCTCGGCTTTCCCTGCTGCAGGAGAAGAGTGGGACAGAGCCAGCAGAGTAACCCAATACGGAAGCCAAACAGCTTTGTTTTCAGAGACACCGAGAGCACCCGAAGGGGATCAGCAACAGGTGTGGGCAAGAGCCCAGCGCTTGTGAAATTAAAAAAAAAACAAAACCAAAACAACAAACCCAACACAACACCACCCCCCTCCCAGAACTCAGCCCCCAGAACCACGTCTGTCATCCTGGATTTACAGGGCTGCTGGGCACTCTTCAGCAGCCAGGAGGAAGCAAGTTACAGAGCTGTGAGATGCAGATATTTCCTTTGAAATTAAGAAGTGCCTTAATTGAACCAAGGGGAAAAAGTCTGCCAATGTTTGCATCTCCTCTGCTAGGAAAGGAAGAAGAAACAAGTTTTTAAAGACAGATGACAGTGCAGCCAGCCAGAGCTGCAGCAAGCAGCAGCTCTGTTCATCCTTGTGAGGTTCTGAGCAGGACACTGAAACCTGGAGAAAGTGGGTGACTTGCCCCACGGCACTGCAACAAGCAATATTTGGCTCTGCAGGTTCCCAGCCCTGCTACCACGAGTGACTCCAGGTTCCCCAGACTAACACTAGCCACCTGCAGATGCCAAATCTCATTCCATAGATTAGCAGGGTGTGTGCACAGAGCAGAACTTACTGTTGGTTCCCATGCCATCAGGGATGGTAGTTGGGGTCAGGGCATTGCGCTGCTGGGGGTTAATTAGCTGGCTGACCGAGGGCAGCTTGTTCATGCTGTTCATTTTGCTGAGCGGTGGAGAGTTGGAGCCATAAGATGACTGTGACTGCATGGAGGTCCTGCAAACCAAGGAGAAGTTAGGACAGGAATCACAGTGGTTGGTTGTTAAGATCACATATCCAAGGGGCTAAGTCTTTTTGTTGGTGGCAGTGGTGAGCTACTGCTACTGAAATCACTGACACCATGGGAGCATTGCAGATAAAGATCACTGGAGAGAGAGTCAACAGGAAATAAGAAGTTTCCCAGATGTTCTGGGCATTTAAAAATCAAACGGTGAAATACCGACAAAGGGAAGCTTCACTTGCGGTTCAAGTTTTAAGTTTTTTTATTTGAGGAAAAGTTTCTATGCAGGCTTTTCAGTTGAAAAGGACATGTGCAAAGCCAGGAAAGAGCTGCCAAAACTCAAAAAGAATACGTTTAAGTTAAGCTCTCCTTGTGGTCAAAGACTTTTTCCATAAGAACAAGAACTGAGGAAGCCATCTAAAACCACCCTAACTACCCCTAAAACCTGACTGCAGAAACAATTTTCAGATCAGGTCACACTTACCATATTGGTTTCTCCAAAATTCCTGGTTATTTATACAAGCAGATTGTCATGAAGTGCATAGGTAACAGCCAGAGGCTCTTTGCTCCAGACAAACTCCATACACCTTAGGGACCACCGAGACAGTCGGAGCTGCCTAGGACGCCAATACTTTTGCTGGTGTAAAAGAGAACTTGGTATCCAAACCCTGCGGGCTGCTTGCTAAGAGTATCAGATTCCTACTACCACTTGACAACAGCACTAGCCTCTCTCAAGTCCAGACAGCCCCAAACTCTATCCAGCCTATCCACAAACTGGGTCAGAGAGCCTTGCTGGCAAGCTCCCCCCTGCCCACCCCCGAGGGTCCCAGCTGCAATCCCACCTCATAAGCTATCTGGAGCATGAAGACCAGACCGCTTCTGAACGGCAGCCCAGTTCCTAGATCGAGTTACGGCTGCGGCATCCCATCTAGTATGGGGTCTTATCTGGGATATGTAGAAAACGATCATTAAAGTGGGTTCAACAGGAGAACTGGCAGAGCACCACCATACCACGAGACAGCAGGTTTGTGTCTCTCCAAAACGAGGGGCATTTGCAAGGCTGGGCAAAGGCACTAGGGAGGAGGGCACGCTTCCCAAACATGATGTGCCCTCGCCATCTGTGCTCACCCAGCAGAGCAGAGCTTGTCCAGCTTACTGCAGAGCCCGGCACTCATTCAGCCATAACATGGTGACTCCGCGGTGAATATGCAGAGGCACATTCCCATCTTATTTCCCATTGGTAAACTTGTTAGTCTAGGTATAACTGGTTACACCAATTCCTGGGAACTGGCTTTCCTTCTATGCAAAGAGAATAGTTATTACTTCAAATAAGCAAAGTGTAAAGGAAAGAAAAGGCTTATTCCTAGATAATTTATTAAAACCTTCGGCACTCAAGGTCAAGTTTCATACAATTACATTGTCTCCAGCTTCCTGCACTTTTAAAGACTTGCAGTGTTGGGTGGAGAAAACATTTATGCTAACAGGCTGGAATATCTAAGGCCCTGAAGAAATGTTACCTAATTACACAATTACAGGAGGTACAGAAGGGTGTGAACTGTCCTTTGGCAGTGAAGATGCAGGACAAGATCCAGCAAACTTCATAGACTCAAGGAAGTGGAAAGCACAAGAAGCTTCACAAATTAATATTAACGATGGCAGCGATTCCCAAGGGGAAGTGAAACTGAGCCATGAAGTTCAGACCCAACTTTTCAGGGTAAAGGGAATGATTCAGATCTGAGGTTTCAATTCACCAATTATAGAAGTTGAGGCCAGCCATGAAATTCGAGTGAGGTTGACACCACCCTTAACCTAAGAGGCTTCTGGATTTCGGACCAAAAAGAATATTTCTACTTTACAGGTTCAGGCACCTATCCTAACTTTGTTTCAGCTGAAATTAATAGACACCTGAGTAGTCTCTTAGGGCAAAATCTGCATGATATGCAAGTGAGGAGGTCACCACGTACACAGTGAAATTCCAAATCAAATCAAAGAATTCCCAAAACTTTAGTTGCATTGTTTAAGCTCAGGACAGATTTTCTTCAGAGCACTCATGAATAGGAATCTTTTTTTAAAAGGATGCTGTTGCTACAAAACAAGATTTTCCAAGGAGGTCAGCAGTGGGCCTAATTTTGCCCTCTCCACCACCAGTGAACCAAAGCTAGTTAGGAGACTACAAAATACTTTGGGGATTAAAAAAAAAAAAAAAAGTAGCAAGCAAACATAAGCCAACGCAAGGCACCCTACACTATAGAAAAAAAATGCATACTTTAACATATAGCTTAAGGACTCAATTCTTATCTCATTCATACTCATAAGGATCAAGACAATCCAGCTCAAGTAAATAAAACAGGAAACAAAAGCATTTTTCTTCGTACCCATCCTTGTTTCAACTAAGCTATTCCATCACATGAGCAGACATACGAAAAGCCTAGAGAAAGCCATCTAGCCAAAGAAAAGTTCCAAGATAAACCAAGATGCAAAATTTTATTGAAAATTAACATCACACATCAATATAGCAACAGCCTCAGAAACACAAGAAAATGGTTTTGGTATTAAACACACGGACTACATGGTGTTTGAGGATTAATTTAAAATATATTGCTTTTTTCTCATTTCTTTTCCTTAACAGGTATTATAAGAATGTCATGCACAGTGATTTTTATTAAAAATTATACTTGCTATGTCTCAAGAAAGATTAGAAGTAGGAGCATTAACATTTCTTTGATATCAATGCCAACGAAATGCATTTTAATATCAAGGTATAAGGACTTCAATTAAGAGGGTATTATACTTCTTGGAACAGTCCGATACGAAAGGCACTGAGTCACATTCTGCAACTGATCTTTCTCTCTTCAAGAGGCTATGTTATTATTTAGCCAATAACATCTGTAGTTATGCAACCTTAATTGAGGGCAATCGCCTCTCATGCTTCAAGGCATATACTGATCATCTCGAGAGGTCAGGAAAGTACTCCCTTCTCCCACATATGAAGCACGGTTCAGTTCACAGGTTACCTTGTATAATTCTGCACTTTTCCAGTTCACTGGTTACCAGCCCTTCACCAGAGATAGGTAACTGCTTGGATAGACCAATTACCTGATTCAGGAGCCAAGTCCCAGTGTCCTCATTCACATTAGATGAGCACACTGTCCTGTAAGCAGCCTTAATAGCATCAAAGGTTCATTAAGTGCAAAAATAGGGCAGCTTAGGCTCAGAGAGTTTAAGATTTCGCCCAAGTCCCTGTGCCTACAGTCTGCTATCCCTGAAGACCTAGAGCTAGTCACAATGCAGAGAGACCCAAGGGGAATCAAAGCTGTCCAGTTTCAGGACTGCCTTTTACCTACAGTAGCCACAGCAAGTGCAGCAAGGATTACATCACCAGTTCACACATGGTCAATGTGCCCATTGGCAACGATTTTCAAGTAAGGTTGCCCATTGGGCTGCATAACTCTGGGATGTCACTGATGTAGTCTAGTAATGCCACACAAGTGACACATGATGCTCCCTTGTTCTCATCCACTTTGAAGGCTTGTGAAGTGGGACACTAAGAAGCAGATGCCCTTGTCCTCCACATCTCAAACAGCTGCTATTTTAAAGTAAGCAATAATGCACCTTCTCAACCACACAAGTGGTTTTTAGGCTTAGTAATTAACTGGGATAACAGAGAGGAGGAGCCTTGACAGTCACTAGGCAGACAAACTACAGTGCAGGGACAAGGGTGGAGATAACGACTCCCCTTAGATTTCAGGTATGGAATTTCCCAGGGCAGAATGCTATCTGCTGTCCAGGGAATGGAGCTAGAATACAGGGAGTGGATATATGTATCAACTAATTGACACAGGCTGATATGACCTGACTGACTAATAAGGCCCAATTATTCCATTTGGTTATTCCTTGAAAGGAAAAGGCTTACTTTTCTGAAGCCCCAGAGATGACAAAGAAGCAATCAAAAGACAGATGGGAAAAAGTTTTCTTCTTTTATCTGCAGAGGACAGGCTATGAAGCAATTCCAATTGCTTCCAGCTCCAGGTTATTTGATTAAAAAAAAGAAAAAAAGCACCTTCTAAGATAACCACCTTGTAGCTGGAGAGAAAATCAAGTCACTATTAAGACCAGTTTTGCAATACTCATCCTCTGGTAAGTAAGGAGGACAAGTTGGAAAGTCTTTCCAGAGGACAGTGGGATCCAAATAGTTTACATTCTTGTTTGGTGGAAGTCCCAGGTGCTGTATGGTCCATCATGGTACAAGAGACTTCCTAGAGGTCAGATGAGATGAAATGAAGCATGAGCTGGAAGATGCTTTGTATCTTCTGGTGAGCTGCCTCTTCAAGCTTGCTATGGACAGGCTCTGGTGCACAGCTCTAGATGCACATTAGTGCATCCCTGTTGTGGTATTTCCATGTTGCCAACTACAAACAGACAAGACCAAGATCCAGGAATTCCTTGGAAGGCAGACGGATAGTGCCAAGCATAATCCTGTGTATGGGCTGCATTTACAGTTCAGATTTCCACCTCTCACAGGGGAAGGAATAGCATTGCCTTCCTTCTCCCAAATAAAAAGGCACAGAGTAATATTTATCTTTGTGATCTCAAAGTACTCCCTGGAGTTTCCAGGCAAAGTAAAGAGGCACTTGATTTGGTTAGCTTTACACAAGGAACAGTAGTAGAGCTGTGACTGTATGAAATAGTCAATGCTAGTGTTTAATTAGTTATTATTTATACTTAATCACAATTTTGGGGGCTCTTCTCCATCAGCCCTCCCCCACACTGCTATGGTAGAACAAGTCTTTCTAAAACAACGAAGGAGATATCCAGAGATGGGATATAGCTCTTAAAGGAGATGTTAGTACGAGTCATCACCTGCTCAGATCACAGTTCTGCTGCCTGAAAGCAGATGATGTGATGTTCAGAGATAAGAGTCTTCTCCCACTGCATCAGGATTTTTTCCTTGGTGGGTGGCCAGGAGGCCTGCTCTGCATTTGGGAAGTACCTTCTC